CACATTTATGGTGTTGGACAGCTTCTGTTGTTCAGTGGTCAGGGTTCGTGGCTATAGATCCAGAGATCCCGGGTTCGATTCCCGTTGCTGCCAGATTTTCTGAGAAGTAGTGGGTCTGGAACGGGGTCCACTTATCCTCGTGCGGATATTTGAGAATCTATGTATTTCAAGGAAATAGTGGTTCCGGTCTAGAAAACCGAGATTAACGGCCGTGGGGATCCGTTTTGCTGACCACGTGACACCTCCTACCCGCAAAAGTTGGTACTAACTTCGCCGACAAGGGGAAGTCGCTCGGTCGGTGCAGTTCGATTGCAGACTACAGGCCACGGAGTGTTTTAATTTAATCTGTTGTAAATATCTACTAGTAATTTCTTACGTATGTTCCAAAAAACTCTGGGCATCATAGACGGTTTAGAGGATATTCCACGGGTTCTACTAGGATTTGCACCTGCAAGCAGTCTCTAATAAAATTGGAAACCTCGATGCTATTTCACGCTAGCGTACTTACTTATGATTCTTATGTAAGTTAACAAAAAGTTCATTTTTGAATAAAACGTATTTGTAGCCTTTGAAATTATATAGAGACGACATGTTCCTCTGAAAAGTCGTTGACTTTCGCAGACCTACACGGCGTTATATCTCAGAAGGTAGAACTCTTCGTAACAACCGCCCTGAGAACCTCAAATTTAAGTCGGAGTGTGTAGAACGAATCATTTAAATCACAAGGGCAGTCTCTGAGGTGCAGCTTCTTGTCGGTTTCATAGACTGTTTGTGTGCTACAGTTCAGCACAGGTGCGGAAGTGGCTGAGACAACAGTCAATAGACTTCTATGCTTGAGGTTTTAGGCTGCGCCATATCTCAAGCGGTTAGTCGCTGGCTTTCCACCTCGGAGGCCCGGGTTCGATCCTGGGTCTGGTCAAGTGGGATTTGTGGTGGACAAAGTGGCGCTGGGGCAGGTTTTCTCCGAGTACTTCGATTTTCCCTTCCAATCTTCATTCCACCAATTGCTCCACAATCACCCTCACCTATCATCTGGGGCTGGTACAATAAGCCAGAAGTGGTCGCAGTACAAGGGACTTAGGCCCACCCCACTAACAATAAAAAAAGCCTGCGGTTTCGAAGCACAGGTAGAGCGACGGGACAAGTATATCAATGTTGGTGGAGGATATGTCGAGCAATAAATGTTTTCCCCAGTTTCAAATATCACATATCTTACGTTTTATATCCATTTATGACCTATTTACTGGCTCTGCCTCTTGCTATGGCGATTGCATTAAATATTTAAACTTACGTAGAAGGTAAAGCAGCTGAAGATTTAATATTTAATCTAGATATTTATGATATGGTGTGATACGTCTTAGTAGAGACTCTGCATCGCTAGTCGACCGGTCGGGTAAATTGTTGTTGGCCTTCGCCAGCACAGTCATTCTTGTTTCTGAGTTCCTCGCTACTCATAATCGTATTTTGTTGTATCACGACTCTGGGAGTAAGCATCGCCAATATTCATGACTCAAATCATAGTCTAACCAGAAATTCATTGTTACGTAGCAGTGCCCATGTTCAGCTATTGCTTCTACCGAGCAATTAGGCTCAAGTGGTAAAGCTTAAATGCTTTGTTTTCGTGAGGGGAGCGGTTCGAAACTCCACCTGAACACAGAGCTTCTGACTGACGTTCTTCGTGGCTTTCTTTGTAGATAAATTCCGGAACAGCACAGAAAATTAGGTCACGACCACTTTGTTCGAAACTCTTATTAATTTATGATTTACTCATCGTTCTACCATTCCACTGTATAGAGTCTCAGTTAGTGACAACATCGTGACATAAAAGTAAAAGTAAAGCTACCGTTGTAACAGGCCGTGAAGGCCCATAGGGTTGTGAGACGTTGAGGGTCCCACATTATCTAGACAATCGGCTCACAGGTGGCGGTAAAGTTGTGAGCCTTACGTGCCTGCCGCCCTTTACCCTGCAGGAAGATTCCTGATACTCATTTCAGGTAGAGGCTGAGTCAACCCCAGGGTCATATTGCGGCTGGGAGGATCATTTCAATTGAAAGAATCCAATGACCTCATCGGGAATCGAAACCGCGAATTTCCGGCTGATAGCATAGTGCCTCAACCAACTACGCTACCGCGGGCTCCCGTCGTTAAGTAAGCCATAACTAAATAAACTCTCTTTCTTATTCCAATTTTTCGCTATTTATTTATAAGCTTTCATTGTTTCCTTCATTCATGTTTCAGTTTCTGGTACTTCTGGAACATTCTGCCGATAATCCTATGTGTGACGCAGTAATCTCTTTCAGATAAATTCTAATAAACACAAAGAAATAATCTCACGAAGAGAAAACATGAATTTTTTTCAAGCAGGCTATTTCCGTCAAATTCTTATCTCAGTTTCTGTGTCTATTTTAGTTTCCGTCATTAACGGTGTATTAAGATTTACTATCAACCTATATGCACATTATTGAACCTGAAGAAGATTGTTGCCAGAGACAGATTTCAGTTTAATCTAGGTTCCTGTTCAGACAAGTTGCATAACATTATTTCAAAATTTTAAGGCGAAAGACAAAGAAATTGATCGGCATTTTCTTTCAGGACCGGGTTTTCCGAGCCTGAATAAGGAGTGGTGTGTTCGCAACAGGAAGCTGTGACTACTTGAGTCTATGACGTTCCATGCGTGCACACGATAATCGGATGTATCAAAGCGCTTCCAAGTAGCTACAGACTGTCACATTTAATATGAAGAACACGCAAGCATTTCAAGGCCACGGTTTGCCTTTGGGCCCACCCAACCCTCTAAACAATGGAGGCGAAGGGTAAAGCAGCTAGGGCGTGAAGCTAGCTACTCCCTTCAGCTGAATTAAGATGAGAGAATTATTCCTATACTGTCCATAAGTCTTCAGGATGTGGTACTTAATGTGTAACGGGGGCTCTTTTCCCGGGGGTAAAGCGGCAGGGTCTTGAGGCTGACCACTCACCTCAAACTAGTGCTAATGTCAAGAAAACGTGGGTCTATACATCCATTTCCACCATACACCTTCATGGTTTAGTGTTTAGTTAGTCAAACGCAGGGACAACTTTACCTTTAGTTCCTCTAGGATCAGTTTCGACAATATCTTACGAAAGAGCATAGACCAAGAAACTTCTGGTTGTATATCTTGATAAAATGCGTATCATTCAATATTTTATATTTTATGATCTTCAGTTCTTTTACAAAATTCTATGTTTAACTAACTAACTGACTCATTGGTGGGCCTATAGCCCAGTTTCTGTAAGGGACGATTTTCCCATCGCTAAAAACTATACTTTTTGGAAAGTTTCCATGGCTGAATATTTTTCAAAAAGCTAGTGTCGTTCGGAAAGAGTTCTATTTCCATCTTCAGATAATGGTTTTAGAGTATCTCTATCGAGAAGCCTAACAGATATTTAAACTTCGCGAAGTTTCCTCTCATATAATTTTATGTCTTGTTACATTACTCACAAAGGGACACCCTGTAGCTTAGTTGGTTGAGGCACTATGTTACAAGCTGGGATGTCGCAGGTTTGATTCAGGATGTGGTCATTCGATTTTTCAATTCACCTAATCCTTCAAACTGCACTGGGGCCGACTCAGCCAACGCAAACACCTGCACAACAAATTCAAGAAGAAAAATACATTTTCAGTTGAAAGAGGGCCGTGAAATTTTATAGTTGCATGCGCATAAATGTCACGTCGAATTTGTATTTATATCCGAAAGAAGCATACTAGCTGCATGCACACACTAGGTAAGCGTCAACGCAGCTACACAAGCTGGGTGATGGGTCTACAGCCAAAGGGACATATACAGGATGTTTCACGACTTTAGGGCATAACTGCAGGAGGTGATTTCCTAGGTTTTGTTATCAAAAAAGTTCATATAAACATGTGTCCGATTTTGGACGGTTACGGAGTTATGATCGTTTTAAACTCAGAATAGAAGGTAACGATTACTGACAATAAACGGAACAAAATAATAAACCAGCATAATACATGATACATTTAAAGTATGAATGTAAAGTTAACTTCGTGAAATTACCTTTAATTTGAATTTATTGGTGCTTAAAGTTGATTTTCGAAAATGTCACCGCCGGCCTCAACACAGGCTGCCACTCGGTTGTGAACCGCGCCGGACATACCAACCCTCCCCGCCTTAGATACATCTCAAGTGTCGAGATAACGAGAGCGCTCTGTCTGTAGCTGGCTAAAAATAGCGACCTGCCAGCTGACAGACGCGGTTCACACGAGGGCGTGTAAGGAATGAAAAAACGGTCATAACTCCGTAACCGTCCAAAATCGGACACATGTTTATATGAACTTTTTGATCACAAAGACTTAGAAAATCACCTCCTGCAGTTATGCCCTAAAGTAGTGAAACACCCTGTGTTAGAGAAATCAACATTCACACCAGCACCACGCGGCCGGAGATCGCGCTAACAGGCCCTAATAAAGATATTAGAATTAACTGGTTTCATTAAATTTAATAGGACTGACATATTTTAAAATTAATTTTTAATTTTAATTAAGGAGTACAAGTAACTAGCCACATGCATTTGTGTGATGCGGTACAGTACAACAATTTAGCATAGCGACAGGCACCTGCCATATACTGCCTTCGCTTGCTTGGAAACCGGGATCGTGGGTTCGAATCCTACTCAGGGCATGGATGTTTAGTTTGTGTGTGTGCGTTTTTCTGTGTTTGTGTACAGGTAGAGGCCTTGCGACGAGCTGATCACCCGCCCAAGGAGTCCTACCGAATGTGTAAGATCTAGAAAACCCGAAGTGAACGGAGAAGTTCATGGAGGTAGGCCTAGGCCCACTGGGGCTGTAGTGCAAAGGGGAGGGAGGGACAGACACCTGCTGATATTCATGTATGGCCGAAACACGTAATAAATAAAGAATTAAAGTGACCATAAACTTTCGTTGCATTTGTTAAGGAAATAGGTATTGAACAAAATAATTGACATTTCATCTAGATTGGTCATATAACGCTGAATCATGTGGGAAGATTAAATTGAACTGCGAGCCATTCCCGGCGCTACCAGATTTTCTGAGACGTAGTGGGTCTGGAACGGGGTCCACTCAAGGAAATAGCGACTCCGGTCTAGAAAACAGAAATTAACGGAAGATGGGACTCTTTGCGCTGACCACGTGACACCCTCTATCCGCTAAAGTTGACAAGCGGCTGTCGCTCTGTCGGTTTAGTTCGCTTGCGGACTACAGGCCACGGAGTTTGTTGTTTGCGAGCAATTTTGAAAGCAGGCGTTCGTGGCCTGTTTCAAGGTGTTATATGAAATGTGCCTGGAAATGCTGAGGAATATCACAAAGAGCTTCAGTCAGGATAAGCTGTAACCAGGCGTTACACCTACCGACCTCCTGAGACTCAAATAAGAGTCAGAATTTTAGAATATACAACTAAATAAGTTAACAAATGTAGGCCTGTAGACATACGTAGACATACGTACATTAAGTACAAGCCAAGGGACAGAAAACAAATTCGAAGATACTGTGAGGGACAAATGGTGAAACTAACAAGAAAGTGACGTTCTTTGCTTGAAAGAAGGGAAGATTAATGAAGTGATAGGCCAGATACATCAAGTCTGGTCTGTATCTTGCTCTGAAAGATACACAGCCGAATCTTCGATATAAGACGGAGATTAATAATTTGTGACTTCATGAGGTAAGTGAGAAATGCAGCGCTTACAAGTAATTTTAGACCTAAATCCTCAAGGTAAGAAAGCATTTTCTAGAACTGGGCATGGAAGGGGTATTAAATGCGTTGTGAAGATGCGAATGGTTTTGAGCTACATGGTGAACACCAATGAATGTACTCGTAGTATAGGAAGTTCATGGACAGTCGAACATCTGCGAGCAGCTCAAGAAAGAAGACAGCATTCACGTTCCTTTGTGGATAATGTACGATAGCACACTTCTGTCGTAATCCTTTGCGTTATTTGACACCATACAATTGTGCTTGTACGTGCCAAGTTTTCAGAAGAATACATTGACTTTATTTTCTAACCTTAAAATGGAAGCAGCATATCAAATCAAAATGGCACACATCTAGCAGACTACACAATGTCATAACCCAGCAAACCACAATATGAACATTCATCGCCTTCTTTTCCGTTACGTGTGTTCATTTTATAAAAAGATGATGAGAATGATATAGAATGACGCTGCAGGATGAGGTCTGGAGTATGAGTAAGAAGACGGAAGTTGAGGATGCTGATATAACTTGGTGAAGATACAGCGTGGTTGTTTGTGCATAGCGACGCTGCTTTCTGGAAGCAATGGGTCTCAAACAGGAGAAGTTCAACCCGAGTATTTTGTTGCTAATTTTGATGGTGTCGGTTTTTGGACATGGAGTAACGTCTTCTATCTGCGACAATGGTCTGTGCAGTTGTTTTCCTCGTTATAAAAATATTACTAGTGTTGACTGCAGTTGCAACTTAACGAAACAGGTAAATTCATCAAACAAAATTCTTTGAATTTCTATCTGATAGCTGACGTAGATTTAAGAATTGTTACGCATGTTGCTTGCGTCCTACGCTTCCTCGAACACAAGGAGCGACATTGCTTTATCCAGTTGCTATTCGTCTGTAAAATTCAGTGCTTCCGAAAATTGTAAATCTAGTGTATTTCTAATTGTACATGTAGATCTAGGGCCGCGCCATAGCTCAAGCGGTTAATCGCTGGCTTCCCATCGAGGCGGCCCGGGTTCGATCCCGGGTCTGTTCAAGTGGGATTTGTGGTGGACAAAGTGGCGCTGGAGCAGGTTTTCTCCGAGTACTTCGGTTTCCCTACCAATTTTCATTCCACCAGTTGCTCCACAATCACCCTCACTTATCATCTGGGGCTGGTACATTAGGCCAGAAGTGGCCGCAGTACAAGGGACTTAGTCCCACCCCACTAGCAATAAAAAAATAAACTATATAATTCATCAGTTAAGTTTGTTCCTCTGATTATTAATTAACCAATTACTATCTGGATAATTATCATGACTTCAGTGTGTATTCTCCGTCAATCAAATCTGAACTGGATCGTTGCTAGCAATGAGCAAATTATAGTGGGGTACTCATGTCTGGCTACTTACTTAATCAAATATTGTAATGATTTGCATCACGAATTTCATATAATATTTTTTATTGAAAGTAAGGTTTAAACTTTACGATTAACCATGTAGTTATTTTGATAAGCATGATGATCTGGAGACAACTGTGAACTCGAGGACAACTTGATCGATTCTGATGAAATTTGATATGTGTGTGCAATAGTCGACCATCCCAAATTCATTGTTATTAATTTTCTACGATCGAACCTGTGAGATGGGGACACGCCCGGTTCGAATACTGAAATGCGACAATCATGGTAGCCAGAGGAATTATCAGATTAAAATAGGAAAATAAGAAAGGATTTCATTCACAGTGGCCATAGATCTAGTAATGGAATTTTGATCTTTATAAAATTTAGTTAAATATTTTCAAACTCAGAATTTCGAGGTGCAAAGAACACATGTTGATAAGACATAAATATTTGTGATGGTGGTAAATTGGTATAAATATTATGTTTCTGGGCACTATTCATCGTCTTGTCTATATGTAAAAACCGTCCTGTTTATTTTTCAAAACACAACTTTTTCGGAGACTTGATTCTATCTTCGTCTTAAGGTAAAACCTACTCAGTTGGGCCCAATAGATAGAGCTAGTTCCTATCTCCGGAGATAGAATCCAGTCTCCGAAAATGTTGTGTTTTGAAAAATAAACAGGACGGTTTTTAGATATAGACAAGACGATGAATAGTGTCCAGAAACATAAGACTTGAACACATGTTGATACTGCGCACAGTTCGCTGTAGACTGCATGCACGTAGCCTGATTAGTAGTTACTTAGTTTAGTTATCTGATTAGTTAACCAGGTTGTTTATCGTCACTGGAACACATTTCTTTTCATTGATCACAGGGCTTTGACTTCACTGCGGCTGATTTCGGCATGCAGTTCCATGAGGTCCGTAATTTCTACGTAACAGACTGCGATGATGGTGTCGTGTTCAGAACGAACGCCTTCAGAGATCTGGGGAAACTGCAAAATCTGTACCTGGGAAAAGTAAGAAAAGTAGAATTTGAATCCGGCGTCTTCCAGAGACTGGCCAGGCTCAGCCTTCAGAATATTCAGGATGTCAAGTTCGGCGAACGAGCCTTCATGGGTGCTCGTGATTTGTATAGTATCGAAATTCATCGAGCCACCATACCTCGACTTCATTCACATTCTCTGTTTGACGTCAGAGGACTATATAGCCTGGAACTGGATGAGGTTGCGCTCCATCATGTCGAAAAGGATGCCGTGAAAATTGATTTCAGACACCCTGAATCATACGTTCTCGTCAACAATTGCACGGTAAGTATCCCATTCTGGCAGGTTTTAGCCTCAAAACTTTGCCTCAGATCTGCTCTCTTTCTCTTTCTTTCTCCCTTTCTCACTCTCTTCTTGCCCTCAATTGAATCCATAACGTGGACCTAAAAATAATATGTAAGGATTACAATGAAAATAAAGACATCTTCAAGTAACTGAAGTACAGGCCGAGCCATAGCTCAAGCGGTTAGTCGCTGGCTTCCCACCGCGACAGCCCGGGTTCGATCCCGAGTCTGGTCAAGTGATATTTGTGGTGGACAAAGTGACGCTGGGGCAGGTTTTATCCGAGTACTTCGGTTTCCCCTGCCAATCTTCATTCCACCAATTACTCCACAATCACTCTCACCTATCATCTGGGGCTGGTACAGTAGGCCAGAAGTGGCCACAGTATAAGGGACTTAGTCCCACCCCACTAGCAAAAAAAAAACAAAAAACTGAAGACCAAATCGGCATGAATAAACAGTTGTCGCTGAGAAATAAAAGGATCTGACCAATTGAAGAGAGGCAGATGACGCAGATATACAGACTATCTGCAACAAAGAACCAAGAGATGATAGAAGGCAGTAACGGGTCAATATATGGCTCAACTCCTTGGCAATTCTGCGATAACGTTGATGAGGATGATGATGGTTATGAATTAACAGTTTGTAGCGTGAATGGAATTATCGTTGCATTTCTGTATTTCATTGACATATTTTTCTTTTCTTTTACAGATTGGCAACATTGAATCGAAGGGAATCATTCTTAAAGCAAAGAATTTCAGTATGACAAAATCTGCTTTGGATGGACTATCATCTGATGCTGTTAATATAATTTCATCGGACCTCATACAGACCTCAGAATCAAATTTTGGGAAGAATCTGGAGAAAAATGCAATAAACATGGTAGCTCCCGTTGTTAATATCCGAAGCAACACATTCAAATTGCTTCCAAAGGGAATTATAGAGGGTATAAAATTTGAGGAAAATAAGAAAATCATCTTTATAAACAACACAGTATATGATATCGACACTGACAATATTTTGGATGGGATGAGTAGTTTAATCAAAATAGCAGAAATTAAGGGTAACCATTTTCCTTGTTCTTGTTCTATTCGTGTGCCACACCAGGCTTTGCGAGAGTTCAGTCAGAATAACTTTTGTACAATCAAATGTAACATTACTTTAAGCGATTTCGGTGCGTTGATTGAGGACAGGAAAGTATGTACTTTGAACAAGAGTGAACCAGACGAATCTGAAATATGTTCCAGTGTGGTTAATTCAACACCTGATCAACGACGTGGAAGAACACCTTCGTATTTCAGAACGACTCAAATTACAACGAAGATGAACAAGACTGTAAACAGTTCAGAGAGAATACAGTTTATACCTGTACTCTTGTTCTGTGTATTGTTTACAGTGGTAATTGAGTCATAAGGAAGTTGGTAATAAAAGATATACAATTCGAAGTTTCAGCACCGGTGAAGATTTTTATTGTGACTCTCTGGGTTATTGTTGCCTGAATGGCGGAGCCAATGTGTCCTCCGAAAAGATGCATCCATCCACTAGGCTACATGGAGTCATAACCCAGAATATCATACTGAAGTCCATCCACTATACGAACCAGGATACATATATTATGTAGGAAAGCTTATGGGAAGTATGTTCGGTGTTATTCTGCCTGGATTTCCCATCTGCGTATGTACTTAAAACAGAACTTTTTAATTGCAACATAGCGTCTACGTCACTAACCTACTATGACGCACTCTCGTTCTTATAGTGGATACAGTGTATGAATATATTTTCACGTGTATTAGGGACTATAGACGGGTTTTGGATTGAATGACTGGATTTATTGCACCTTGTACATTCATACAACTCGCTTATTTACACATTTTACAAATCACCGTTACACACGGAAAAGAATTTTCCATCTTCAATAGTCGTATCCTGGCAACAGTCTTATAACCTTCTCACTGTAATTTAGAATCACATATGGTGTATTATTTGTACAGTCTAATTCATTTCTTACCATTTCTTCCTCAATCACATTCTTTTGCCATCTCCAGAACTCGAACGAGTTCTCGACAACACCAACGTAAACGAAATCTTTTTCAACTGAAATCTCTCAAATTTTGACAACTAACTCCTCAAGTCAAAGTCAAAGTCGCATTGCGACTGACGGTGAGTCAGTCAGTAAGTCGCACCCGGTAAGTATTTGCACTTCCTGGTTTAATAGCCGACAATTTTTGATCCTCCAATGTCATTTACAACGTCTGTACGTATACTCTCCTACTGTTCGAGGCCTATTGTTTATACTTTCTATTCAAGTAATCGGCTAATACATAAGATTCGGCTTCTACTTAAAATTTATAGTAGTCAGAAACTATTGAAATATCTGTATTAATATCCGCCCACTTTATGAAACCTTCCTAACATGTGAAATTTCAATGTAACCCACAGTCAGTTCACAAAATATCGCAATATGCTTTAGGATTCCTATCCGAAAAATAAACCTGTAAGCATAGTGGTAGGTGATATTCTCCAAACACTATCACTGATGGTTTCAGTTATACCCTCACAGAAGTTAATAACAAGACCTTCGATATGTTGTATTTGGGAACAGACTCTGGAACAGATGCTGAAAGTCACTGACATAGAAGTGTTGGTAGTTGTACAGGTCATGCATTCGTCAGTGTTTCAGCCAGTTTTATTGTTGGATGGTACTCGGTCGCAAGAACAACTTATATATGTATATGTACATTTTAAGTCATTAAATGTTTATTATGATATATGCTGAAATTTTTATTTTGTTTACTATCCTTATTAATTGAAATTGTTTTTCAATGTCACAGCTTATAAAATTCAATGAAGCTTCACTAAATATTGGTCGCAAATATCATAAACATAGTTTTCACGAGGTGTACTCGACTTCTAGATATGAGGCACTGGCGGCCGACAGTTTTTTTTTTTTTGCCGTTTCGTAACTTGAAATTCTTTTTGAAAAACTGGTCGGATATTATGAATAGTTTTAAACATTACCTTTAAATTTTGCAATTTGGAAATTCTCTGTTTATAGAGACAATCTGACTATAAATTAGCGGTAGCGTAGTTGGCTGAGGCACTATGCTACAAGCCGGAAAGTCCAGGTTCAAGTTCCGATGAGGTCATTGGATTTTATTTTTTTCAATTGATCTAATCCTTCCAGCCGCGCTATGGCCCTGGGGTCGACTCAGCCTCCAACAGAAATGAGTACCAGGAATATTCTTTGAATATTCTTGGGGGTAAAGGGCGGCCGACACGTAGGGTTGGCAACCTCGCCGCCATCAATGAGCCGATTGTCTAGAAAATGTGGGAACCTCAATATCTCACAACCCTATGGGCCTCCACGGCCTGTTGCAGGGATACCTTTATTTTTTTACTTTAGATGTTTTACTGTTGAATTGACAAGCATCGATAGTAATAATAAATCAAAAGCTTTTGCAGAACCTTGCTGAAGTTTGACGCGGCGAGTAATGTTTCGTACAATTTTCATAAATTAATATAATAAAGTTGTATTTAATGCCAATAAAATGCATATTATCTGCTAGTGATATAGGATTTACCCAATCTTTATGGATATGTTTACATGTAGTTGTGATGCTACCATAATAAAATTTGACCGTTTTGATTGAGCGGAGATGCACAGCCAACTAACCTCAATTGTTTCACAAATTTCTGTCAGGGGTCCCCCCAGACTAATCGTGTGGTATCCTTTCACGTTTCGATTATTTATGGAACAAGTTATACCTGTCCTTTATGACATATAACAGGCATTGGGCAGAGGGGTTCAGTGCGGTAGCGTATGCGAGGATGCGTTGCCGAAGACTTCGCGTAATTAAAAACTTGTGTAATTCAAGAGAAGTTTAAAAAAGAATATGATTCTTGCCGAATTTTGGTGGATTCGCACTGTTTCAAACTTTGCGCATAAAGTGAGACTTTGTTAGTAGTGTCGCCATCTGTTTTTCCTTTTCTGAAGTGGAATAATTATGTTATCACAGCGTACATCCGAGAGTTGAATCAAGAATGCGTGTAAAATTAATTGTTTATATAACAGCTGGGATAAATTGAGTGTGTTTAAGATACTTCTATTTTTAAACACTGTAATTTGTTATGCCCTAGTGCCATTGCGGGAAAGTGTCCCGTACAGTATGCGTAGATAACACATGTTGCATCTGACTGACGTTGTAGTCTTTTGAAACGGTTTGCCATTTGTCAACGTTGTGAAGCGAAGAACGTGATGTAGAAAGGTATAGGAGGTTAGAATTGGTTAAAATAGTGCGTTTTGTTTCTCTGCAGGCAAACAGTTAAATTTTGATTAAAAATGGTCGTTCGTCAATATAACGAAGAGCTTAAGTATTTAGAAAAAATAAACCCTTACTGCTGGAAGATTAAGAAAGGGTTTCAGCCAAATATGAATGTAAGTTTGACTTCACTTATGTCATACCGCCGGCTAGTTAATTTTGTATTTATTTACAGTTTATTAACTGGTTTTAAATATAACACAGCTTTATGTGTAGAGATGTTAGGTACAGAAAAATAAGAATTTTGTTAAATTATGAAATTTAGAAGACGCTAATACAGCGAAAGGAAATCAGAGAATATAGTTAAAATGTTTTTCTTTTCACGGGTGCAAAGATTTTGTCAGTGCGAATTCCCATTATTATGCATTTATAACTTACACATCATGTTCATTTGCATGTTTCAAATTCGGGATAATCGTGTTCCATGTGTGTAGTGGCAAAATATCGTGTTGTGAGGTAACATTATCAATGATTGCTCATAACCTAGCAATAATAAAACATAACCTGCCACACTTTTAAGCTTTACCTTAATCATGGCACTTAATATGACCTTGCAAATTTTAGCTTCCTATGCTGAAGTTGGTTTGTGTTTACATTACTGTAATACTTTTGATTTAGTATTAATATTTACCATGTACTGTAGTATAATTATATCTAATTCATGGTTCAGCAGTATTTGAATGTCAATTCATGCTGTCACACAATTTTGTGGTGGGTATAGGATAATGTTCCCATTACCTCATATATAATAGTTCATATTCAATCCTTAACTATGCTAGTTGCTCATCTGCTCTTCCTTTTATATTTATATTTTTTCAGAAGAAACCCTTTTTTTTGTCATCAGTATGTTTTAAGTGTGCTATTGGGCCTATGCATGTGAAGATCCTTCTGAATATTCTGAATATTCTTGAATACTCTCCTTACAAAATAATAGTATAAAGTTTATTTGTTATGCTTAAAGTGTGACTTGCTATGCATAGTTTTATATCCAGTATGTATTGCCTTTCCTGGAAGGCTGGAATTGAAAAAAAAAAAACAACTTATTTTTATAAGAGGCGAAGATCATGTACCATAAAAAGTTTCCCTAGTATGACTGGAAATGAATGTGCAGGCAGGTCATTATAAATGATATCTGTAGAAGGGGATTAACAACTTGTACCCATGTTTTGTCAATCAGATTCTTTTGGCCACAGAAGTTATTAACAACCTCCATCAGCATTAAAAGCCAGAGATCAGAAATTATGTAGAAAAGAAAGGTTCATTGATATTGCACAAAAGAGAAGGATGAAGTAAATTGGTATTTAATTTTTGTGTTATTTATTTATTGTCCTTGAGAGTAATGTTTCTGCTTTTATTTCCATAAATTCTCAGAATGTTTATAGAATGAGATCTTCATCTGATTGTATGTATACATTCCTATTTACTAAAATACCGTATTTACGCCTGTATAGGCCGCACATTTTTTGACAAAAATTCAAGAGGAAAACTGGGGTGCGGCTTATATTCGAAATCACACTTCATTTAAAAAAAATATATATTCATAATTAGTAATACAGGGTGTTCTACTCCTGAAATAATATTCCAAGAAAATTATTTTTTCTATAATTTCTGTCTGAAAATTGTGCTGCGGCCTATACACGCACGTGGCCTATGCATGTATAAATATGGTATTATCCACAATTTTTTTATTCTTTACATTCCAGGCTTCTGCACTTAGTCTCAAAGTTGAAGGATTACCTGTAGACAAAATAGTTTTTTGGATTTAGATGGTGTTTATTATTAGTCAGCCATCAATGGCTTTTCATCGTTGAATACTGGGGTTTATTATGCTGTGCAAATAACTTTTGCTGAGCTAGGAACATCTTTTCAGGTGGAAGGCGTGTTCTATGTAAACAACCATCTTGAGAAATTAATGCTGGAAGAACTGAGAAATTCTTGTCGCCCAGGCATGGTAGGAGGGTTCCTTCCAGGTGTGAAGCAGATAGCAAATGTTGCTGCATTACCAGGCATTGTGGGTCGTTCCGTAGGACTTCCTGATATACATTCAGGCTATGGGTTTGCCATTGGTGGGTTGGATTCTTTATTTTCATGATATGGTAAGATTTGTGAAGTTCATATTTCAGGGAAACACATAAGTTGTTTATCTTTCATTGGACCACTTCATATAGATTTGCTCGCTATACATGTACTCTTTTCTGAATCTGCACTCCTATTTCAGGTTCACAAACTCCCCATTTTGAATTTTGGCTGGGAAACCAGCTGTCTTGACTGTTTTTTTTTTTTTGGCGTTTGCCCCATTTTTTCTAGGCTGATTCCATGATAGTACCATAAATAGACTACAGACATTGCCCTGTTCCCTAAACTAAACTTCCATAAGATATGGTCCTGAAGCAGGCTATTATAATCATAGTGACAAATATTTATAATCTGTGGAAAGAAATTTGTTGATGAGCTGAATAATTGTCAAGATGTTTTTTCTTTCACTTAAGGAAACATGGCAGCTTTTGATATGGGTGATCCTAAATCAGTGGTTTCACCAGGGGGAGTAGGATTTGATATCAACTGTGGGGTGCGGCTGCTGAGGACAAATCTTCATGAGAACGACGTTCTTCCTGTCAAAGTGAGTATATATTTGGACTTTCACACAGGTTCACATAATCTCTTCAGCCTATACAAAATGTACTTTATTGAACTTATATGCAAATTCCAGACTTGCATAGAATACTTTGCACAGAGATTACAGCCTTCCTCTGCAGAATTTTCTTAATTGAAATTAACACACAGATTCCATTCTTCTCTCAAGCCTGTTTATAATGCACTTTTTATTGGAATTAATACATGTGGAACACAGTTTCTGCAACAGTGATGGAGAAGTTTGTCATTCTGTAACCAGGAGCAACTGGCACAGAGCATGTTTGACCACATCCCAGTTGGAGTGGGATCTAAAGGAATCATCCCCATGAATGCCAGGGATCTTGAGGAAGCTCTTGAAATGGGCATGGATTGGTCCCTACGAGAAGGTCAGAGTTTAATGGTGAACCAGAAAGTTTGCTTTGTAAATTAAACTTGTTTTATGTCATCTGTTTATAATTAAGAGACATAGGTTTCCTTTTATGTTGACAGCTGCTTCATCCATTGACGTACTTGTCAGCTGCAAGATGTTACTGGTTAAGGGTGCACACATTTTACTTCCTGGAAGTTATATGATAATTTTAAGACATTTAGAAACCTCTCAGTTACAAAGTTGCTATTTTGGGCAGATGAGAATCAAGTAGTATGCTAGTAAGAGGTGACTATTTATTAACAGAATGAGACATTATTGTATTTAAGCATCCTGTTGCATTAATATATCTTTTGTACACATATATTTCCGTCTTGAATGCAACTTATTATCAAGTCACCCTTTTTCCTCACTACATGTTTAAGCCATTTACAGCCATCAAGTGTTGTCTGTCTTGCTAAAATTGTTGCATTTTATGTAAAAATTATGTATCATATGTGAACGTGATATTTCCTAATTAAAATAAATTAACCTTAATTGAAATATATCAACACCCCATTGTTTGAATAGTTCCTAATTAAAATAAATTAATCTTAATTAAAATCAGTTAATACCCTATTGCTTTTATTGTGGTTGTCCATTTGTTTGAAAGATACTTTCTTGAGTATTTCTTGTTTTGGATTTATTCACGCAGCATTCCCAGGTATTATGCATGCCATTTGTGCAGTTCATAAGAATGTTAGTGTGGTGTTATCATTTTTGTTTATGTATGCAACATTGGCTGCAGTTTCTCCGCACTGCTAGAGTAGTTATGTTACATGGTCTGTGTGTGTAGGGTGACTAGATAGTGTGTTGCATTTGAGATGAAATATATGTGTACAAAAGAATGAGATACAGATTTTTAAGTTAGGAATCCAGTAACCTTAATGGTGTGTGGTGGAACTATGCTCAGGATATGTCTGGGCAGAAGATAAGGAGCACTGTGAGGAGTATGGACGCATGCTGAATGCAGACCCTTCCAAAGTGAGCATGCGAGCTAAGAAGCGAGGACTCCCACAGCTAGGAACATTGGGAGCAGGAAACCATTATGCTGAAATACAAGTTGTGGATGAAATTTTTGATAAATGGGCAGCTAGCAAGATGGGTATTGAAATGAAAGGCCAGATTTGTGTCATGATTCATTCAGGCAGCCGAGGATTTGGACATCAAGTCGCTACAGGTATTTCATGTTTCAGTATACTCAATTTTATTTGATAGACTTTCTAATAGTAAGACTTTTTTTTTCTGTTTTTAAAATGTTTGTTATGCTAATATATACCTTCAAAAGAGATATGACATCACATGGTTTATATTTGTCATTGAAGACGCCAGAATTCTAGTATTCCGATTATGTTTCAGATGCCTTAGTCCAGATGGAAAAAGCCATGAAGCGTGATAACATAGAGACAAATGACAGGCAGCTAGCTTGTGCTCACATTGGATCCCCTGAGGGCCAAGATTATCTAAAATCTATGGCAGCTGCTGCAAACTTTGCATGGGTTAATCGAAGCTCGATGACTTTCCTCAGCAGACAGGTAGTGATGAAATGTCCAGTCTTGCAACCATATGTTTTGGTTTTGTTACTTTTCAAAAGAAGAACAGGAAGATTTGTTTTTCCAAATGTATTCTTAACTATTTTTTTGTATTTTTCTAGCTGATCTTTAGACACATCTAAGTGCCTTTGTTACAGTTATTGTCCTTCCATACAGCCATCTTATTTTGTCCTTAGATAGATGTGATTATTGGGTGCCTGATGGGCCTTCTCAGACAGAGTAACAGGAGAGCTGGTATTTGAGGGATGATTACATTAGTAGTTATTGCATCACATTACATCAGAAAGATTTGAGCATTTATAAATAGAAGTTCATAGTGCATTTTCTTGGATTTATTTATCATTTTGGCAACCCTTTGACAGTATGCAATAATATGTTTGATTCAGAACACTGATATTAGTCAGTCCTTGCTGTCTCAAGGCTTTCAGCACTGGAATTTGAAAAGTGTGTTTGAAATGTATGCTCCTAAAGTTTTATCACTAAACTGCCTATGCATTGTTTTACCAGGCATTTGCAAAACAGTTCCATTTAACACCAGATGACTTGGATATGCATGTTATATATGATGTATCACACAATATTGCCAAAATTGAGGAACATATTGTTGATGGAAAGCAGAAGACCCTCTTGGTCCACAGAAAGGTGAGTTGGAATTATGGCTAGGATATTATCGAACTTGAGCATCACTTTGTTACAGATAAGCATGGTACATTTACAGTAGTTCTTCAGGTTTATACCCGAGAGGTGTGTAAACTGAAGTATTTATGGAACTGGATGAAACCCAATGTACAGCATTTGGGAACGACTTAAAGTTTACCACCATGTATTTCAGCTCTGCACTGTACATTACAGTCAGAGTGGTTGGTTATTTTGAAATAGAATGATTGTTACAGGGTTCTACTCGTGCTTTCCCACCTCATCATCCTTTGATACCTGTGGACTACCAGCTAACAGGACAACCTGTGTTGATTGGTGGAACCATGGGCACTTGCAGCTATGTTCTTACAGGCACAGAACAAGGAATGCAGGAAACGTTTGGTTCAACTTGCCATGGCGCTGTAAGTGTAATCATATAATTTGATAGGTTGTCATTCATGCTGTTATATTTGTTTTTGCTGTCGTGAATATCTTCAGGTATGGCCTTGTCAGTGTTTCTTACTTCCACCTGGCGACATGAAAGGGTGAAGAAGATAGCCTAGTTCCAAATAATATGATTGGAGGAGGAGGAGGCGGCGGCGGCACTGCAGTAATGCGGGTGACTTGAATTCTAGAGATATATTGTTGTGAAACTTTCATTGATCAAGATGGTGAAGCAGCAAGTCTTTGAAATTGTATTATGTAGAAGATACTGGGAGGGAGCTGGGATAGTGCAGTCAGTATAGTGACTGGCTATGGGCTAACAATTGAGAGGTCGGAGTTCAAGTCCCAGTAGGGTCAAGAATTATCTCTTCCCCACTGTGTCCAGACTGGCTCTGAGGCCCATACAGCCTCCTATCCAGTGGATACAGTGGGCTTTTCCTCTGGGGGTAAAGTGGCCAGGGCGTGAAGCTGGCCACTCACCTTCAACTAGTGCTGAGGTCAGGAAAATGTGAATATATACATATAATCCCTCATACGCCTTCATGGCATAGTGTGTAATTAATTAAACACAGGGACAACTTTTCTTTTAGAAGATACTGGGTTCATGTCTCAAATGAGATTTCAGTTGTCTTGTCTAAGGTTTTTCACTGTTTTCATTAGTTTTTGCAGATAATTGCTAGGATAGTACCTGTAGGGTGTGGCGCTACCTACGTATTGTGATCATCTTACCAATTCATTGAGCAGTTTGTAACCTCTTCAGTTAATACAGTGGCATTAAACCTGAAAATTAATCAAAACTTGATCAGAGAATCACATGACTGCTGTTTCTCATTTCATCCAGGTGAATTTTGGAATAGTACTTGAAATAGATTGTGGCCACTTGCTTCCCTTTCCACTCACAAATTTAATACATTAATATATTCTGCCTCAGTGAGTAATAAATAACCTTATTGCACTTAACATTGTTGTATTACCCATGAACCAACCAACTGGAATGCCTGTTTTTTCATACACCATACAACACACAGGCTGTGTTCGTCTTACTGTTTGAAAATCACTGTGCTTGCATTGTTCACATGGAGAATTTGATGGAAATACACAGAAAAGTGTACACTGATAAACATAAGGACAGTAAAAGTAAAAGTAAAGCTACCCTGTAATAGGTCGTGAAGGCCCATAGGGTTGTGAGACGTTGAGGGTCCCACATCATCTAGACAATGGGCTCACAGATGGCGGTAAGTTTGTCAGCCTTACGCGCCGCGTGCGCTTTACCCCGCAGGAAAATTATTTAATTAATTCCTGGTACTCATTTCTGTTAGAGGCTGAGTCAACCCCAGGGCCATAGTGCAGATGGAAGGATTAGGTCAATTGAAAAAATCCAATGACCTCATCGGGACTTGAACCCGCAACCTTCTGGCTTGTAGCATAGTGCCTCAACCAACTACGCTACTCTGTGCCCCAAACGTAAGGACAGTGGCATACCAAATAGATTAGGTAGACTTGCCATGGCAGCTCATGGTAAGCCTCTGTGATATTTACTAATAGCTATACAGCTATGTTCAGAATCTTGTTGTATTGTGCCTCAACCCAGCACAATCCCCATGGCTGTTAATCTCGGGTTTCTATATCAGAGCCGCTGTTTCCAAGAAATAGCCTCCTCAGTTATCCTCATGAGGCTGAGTGGACCCCGTTCCAGACCCATTACTTCCCAGAAAATCTGGTAGCGTCGGGAATCGAACCCGGGACTTCTGGATCTGTAGGCAGGAACTCTGACCATTAGACCACCGAGGCGGTCCTATGATGGCCAATAGCAGGCCAAAACATTTATATAGTTATTCAATTGTATGCATTAGTTGTGTTGATGGAACTTATGATGTTATTAATCAGTACACTGATGACTAATTGTTCCTTGTATCATCACAACATGCCTTGCCTATACCCCACAGAAAGGCACTGAAGTGGGTACCTCAGAATTTGCATGTGTGAGCATCACTAAAGGACCATTTGGCATTCTCAAGAATAAAGGCAGTGCTACTAAAGTAACGTGGGCTGTAAGGGTTAAAGAGCATACTGTTACAAGACGCCAGTCAAGTTAACACTTTTTACTTATATTCAGGATATAGTTGGTTTGAATCTCAGCTGGATTATGGCTAGACTGATTGATGTCTTTCATGGTTTCCTCAGTTGCTGTGAGTTACTGCTGTATATTAGTTCTTCCGCGGTCTCCTCAGGTTCACCAAACATAATCTTTTCACATTGCTCAAAATGAAATAACCCCCTCATTTGTTACATTGTCATTTCAAAACTTGACAGTTTATGCAAGGGCATGCCTGGAGTGGAAGATGTTGGAAATTTACTGCCACCTCTTATAACCTCCAAAGGTATTTTATCTGTATGAAGTATAATTAAGCATTTTTCTTATAATTTAAATCAGCATAAATGTTAGAATAACTGTTAATTCTTTTTCAGGGACGGGCACTTTCAAGAGCAAAGTCACGACGAAATATTGATTATAAGGATGTACTACACAGACTTGAGGAAATGGGAATTTCCATTCGTGTGGCATCACCCAAATTGGTCATGGAGGAAGCTCCAGAATCATACAAAAATGTTACTGATGTTGTTGACACTTGTCATGCTGCTGGAATCAGCAAGAAATGTATCAAACTGAGGCCTATTGCAGTCATTAAAGGTTGACTTTGATGTCTTGTTGTTGTTGTGTTGATTCACTTACAGATATTTTGTAATGTCCTGTATATGTAAATATATAACATTCTGCATTCTTTAAGAATTTTTGATATTTAAGGTTTAACGGTTATTTTTATAACCTGTGGTAAATCAGTCTTCTTCCTCAGGAATCCTGTGAATTGTGAAGGGTCCACAAGAGTGATAAGTAGTTTGATTAGTGTATGGCAAGAGGGATGCCAGGAATCTTTATAAAGAATTCTGTAAGACTTACCCATCAGTTGTCATTGTGGGTGAATGGAAGAACCTCTGGAGATGTATATGGCCACTCAGACAAAAGCCGATGCCACATTTATGTCAAGAATATTCAATGTGTCATGACATGACGTGCAGAAGTATGAAATTATACAACTTTTGATTGCCATTGTTGAGCATTAAGATGCGTCCAATCCTTATTTGTTATGTTTTATGGTACGTGATGAGCAAGTGAGCGCACTTTTTTTTTTGAACATATTGTTGTATTCTCTGAGTGTTTGTAATATTTGATATGCATATGCAAAATGTAGTTGGTATTTATGATGGACTGAATTAGTTACAAAAACCTGGAGGTTTCTTCTTTTTCAGAGTAAGAGTTTTAAAGATGCAAACCAAATTCAGTAAAAACATGCCCAAGACCTCTAACCTCAACCAACAGGATAATGCCAGTGGACACTTATTATTTGTGCATTACAAAGAAAGAAAATGCAACTGCCAGAATTCACAGCTCCATAAAGCTCATAAGACACATTTGAGTAAACACTATCCATGTTGGCTTGCTGTCATTAGTCACTGTGATATTACTGGAAAATAAGCAGGACTATATACATACTGTGTGAGTCAAATGAAAGTCTTAACATGTTTTCCCCAGCTAATTTGGTGCATATAGGTTCCATTATGCTACAAGCCAGAAGGTCACGGGTTTGATTCCCGATGAAGTCATTGGATTTTTCAATTGACCCAATCCTCCCAGCTGCACTGTGGCCCTGGAGTCAACTCAGTCTCTAACAGAAATGAGTACCATGAATTTTCCTGGGGTAAAGGTTGGCCAGCATGTAAGGCTGACAACCTCACAGCCACACCTGCATTATTAGTCACTAATACATGTGACAATATAGGTGTATATAGGTTCAGTACAGCTTTATCATTTTGCAACATAATCCCTGTTTTGTTCAGTGCATGTCCTGATGCCTGGATTCCTCATGAAAAAATCCTTTAGCTGGATGCATGGCTACTCATGCATCTTTTTTACACTTCTTCAGCAGATCAGAAAGTCTTTTCACTAAGAGCCTCGTTGAGTGGGCCAGAAATATGGTAGTCACAAGCGGCTGAGTCGGGCGAGTGTGGTGGATGAGGGAGACACTTATTTGAATGTCCCTGATCATCTAAGCGTGTCAGACAGACATACAGAATGTGGCCTGGTATTGTCATGCAGCAGTATGGCATCAGTGCTGAGCAACCCATGATGTTTTGATTTGATGGCTGTTCTCAGACAATCCTTAAGGAAGTTAAGGGATCACATAAATGACAGAGAAAAGTACAGAAACTGTAATTGACACTACTAAGGAGGTTTGTGTAGAAGTAAGCAGAGAAAACTAAGCATATGTTGATGTATAATCAGCAGAATGCAAGGCAAAATCATAGCATATGACAGCTGATGAACATTTGAAAATGTGGGAGAGTTCAGATATTTAGGAATAACTGAAACACTTGAAAATTTGCTTCATGAGGAAATTAAGACCAGATTAAACTTGAGTATTGCTTCCTACCACTCATTTGAGAACCTTTTGCCTTCTTGTGTGCTGTCTAAAAGTACTCATCATCACTCATGGAGCTGAGCACTTCTTGAGAAGGTGCCAATTGTGCAGCCACTCAAGAACTTCCCAGCATTTTGTGGAACCTGAAGGTTCATTACCATAGTCACAAGACCCCTCTACTGGTCCCTATTCTGAGCCAGCTCAATCCAGTCCATACCATCC